CAACCGCATAAAGGGCTGGTTCATTAGCCATTCAAGGCAAGCAATGACGATGTTTACTTGGAACTTTATGCATGTTAAGTTGGTCATCTTGCTCATCCACAATGCACCATTCCTTTTTACTGATCGGAAAAAGTACGATGCTCGGCGTATGTTGCCTTATCCAGTCAGGGTATGTGTCGGATACGAACATGCGTCTGATATGGATATGTTAAATGTAGATGGTGGGATGATTTACATTCTGTCAGATATGAATATGTTCGTAGATACGGGTATTTTAGGAAAGTACAGAATCATAGTAGTTTGTACAAAAAAACATCGTAATATAAGTAAATTGCATTTATTGTTATCCATATCTTATTTCTTTTCTTCGATTTGAAAGGGCGAACAAAATATCAATCGATAAAGTTATTTATTTATTAGGGTAGGGTGGGGAATTGTATTTGAATAAGTAAAATTACTACGATTTCAATGATTAAAATGATGGTTATTATTTTTAAAATTTGGGCATTTTTAAATGTTGTAATTTCATCATTTTTACTTGTTTAATTGATATTTTGTCTCGTTTAACTTCTGATTTCAATCAATTTTGTCTCGTCTTATAGATTAGTTATCATTTTGATTCTCGTAAGTTTTTTTTTTAATTTAGTTATGATATGTTAATTGATTAATTTATTCGTTTATTTTTAACATTAGTTATTTGCCTATTATTATTTTTACTTAAGTTTTAGTATTATTCATCATTGCTAATTAGTAATCATATTTATTATTACTAACATTTTTTTATATTTTATTTATTTTCAAAAACGAGACAACATTCAATTCTTTTAAAGGTATTAATTTTGAGAGCCATGATGGTACTCTAATATTTTTCCATGTAATTGACTACCAAACCTAATTTTGTTCTTGTTGTTAATCGCATCTCACAGTCCATTGTGCACATCTACACATAAAATTGTGTTTTCTATTCGAGCTATATTCTAATTAAGTGAAAGCAAAATGTTATGCCATCATAAAATTAACCTCTATACATTATAATATTATTTTTGGAGTGTATATGTCTTGTATCGTCGTGAAGTAAACATTCATATAGATACAAAGAAATGTATCATCCCGAGTTAAACTTTATCTATATAAATCTATAAACTTAAATAAATAGTATAAGTATTTTAACTATACAGATAAACATTCTTTTTTTCCCATTACTAATAGAACAAAATAATTTACAAACACATGATACTGTTATATGTTCTTATATTTATAACATGATTAACGATCTTGTAATAGAGTTATAACTCCAATTGTTATTTCTTTTATTGGACTATTACTTGCATAAAATAGTAATTATTATAAAAGAATAATATAATATTGATTCGATGGCGCAGCAGCGACTGTAGCTCAGTGGATGGAGCGTCTGTTTCCTTAGCAGAAAGTCCTACTTTCGACCCCTATCTGGCGCGTTTTGTATTTTACCGATTTTAACTCTTGAGTCGGTAAAATATTAAAAGTACACAACAAAGCTTATCCTAAAAATTAAAACATTATATTATATTATATCAATATATCTAAGTTTTTCCCTTTATTAAATATTTTGGAAATTAATGGCGAACCCAAGTTAATCTTAAAGTATACAACAAAGCTGATCCTAAAAATTAAAACATTATATTATATTATATCAATATATCTAAATTTTTCTCTTTATTAAATATTTTTGAAATTAATGATAACCCAATTTAGTCCTAGGACTTACAGAATTGTATGACTACTCTGGGGTTAGTGGATCACCCTTTCTTTGGACCTGTCTTTACCTGGTCAAATAAGCATGATGAGGGGTTTCTGGCTAGGAAGTTGGACAAAGTGTTAGTGAATGATCACTGGTGTGAGGGCTTTTCTAACTCCCACGTGGAATTTCAAGCCCCTGGAGTTTTTGACCATAGCATGGCTGTTACATGGTACTCTCATGATAGTCTTGCTTCAAGGCCTAAGCCTTTCAAGTATTTCAACTTCTGGGCATTGCATCCTGACTTCAAGGAAGTTGTTGGGAAGTCTTGGGCTGAAGCTGTGCAGGGTGACCCCATGCAAGCTTTATTTTGCAAAATGAAGAGGTTGAAGGCTGAGTTAAGAGCTTTTAATAAAAGGTGTTATTCTAACATTTCTGGGAAGGTTGCTGAGAAGAGGGAACAGTTAGAGAAAAAACAGATTGTGACTTTAACTGGTGGAAATCCAGGTGATATGGCAAAAGAGAGGAAAATATACTTTGAGCTCATGGATCTAGAAAAAGCAGAAAGATTGTTTTACCAGCAGAAGGCTAAAGTTGATTGGCTGCTTGATGGAGACCAATGCACAAAATTTTTTCATTCTCAAGTTGCAGTTAAAAGGAAGAGGAATACTATAAGGGTGTTGATTGATGAGAGGGGCAATAAGCTGGATACCTTTGATTTAATGGCTGATGAATTAGTGAATTACTTCTCAAGGCAGATTGGTACTGAAGATAGTAATGTGCAAGCGTGTTCAGATATTTTCCTGAGTGACCTGTTGGGTTATGCCTTGCCTGCAGGTGCCAATGTTGATTTGGTTAAGGCTCTCACAAGTGATGAAGTTAGGGTGGCCATTTGGAGCCAAGAAAAGGATAAGGCCCCTGGCCCTGATAGATACACAACTGGGTTTTTCCAATCTGCCTGGGACATTGTGGGAACAGATTTTATGGCAGCAGTGAGGTTTTTTTTCGAATCCTCTAAAATGTTGCCTGCTTTTAACTCTATTGTTGTTGCTCTGGTTCCTAAACTGCCCAACTCTTGTAAATCCATGGATTTTAGGCCTATATCTTGTTGCTCAGTGTTTTATAAAACAGTTACTAAGATCCTTGTGAACAGACTGGTCAATTATTTCCCCAGGATGATTGCTCCTAACCAGTCAGCCTTTGTGAGAGGAAGAAAAATTGAAGATAACACCCTCTTGGCTCAAGAGATTGTTAGAGGTTATGGTAGGGGTTCCATCTTACCTAGGTGTGCTATTAAAGCTGACTTACAGAAAGCTTTTGACTCCTTAAGCTGGAAGTTTCTCCTTGCTGTTCTGAAAAGTCTAGGGCTACCTGAACAGTTTAGGAAGTGGATAGAAGCTTGTGTTATGAACTCTAGATTTTCCATTGTGTTAAATGGAAGCCTAGTGGGGTTTTTTAGAGGTAGAAGGGGTGTCAGGCAGGGGGATCCCCTATCCCGCTACTTGTTTGTAATGGCCATGAATGTTCTCTCCAAAATTTTGGATGTGGCTGCTGCTGATAGTATTTTCCAGTTCCACCCTAAGCGTAAAAGAGTGACTTTAACGCACTTATGCTTTGCAGATGATTTACTCATATTTTGTAAAGGTAATGTTGACTCTATAGTTGGGGTGAAATGTGTTTTGGAAAGATTTTATGAGATGTCAGAGCTGAGACTTAATGCTTCAAAGACTGAAATTTTTCTTGCGGGTGTGAATGATAATTTGAGGATTCTTGTGCACAAGGTTACTGGATTTAAACTTGGCTGCCTACCTGTGAGATACCTTGGGGTCCCTCTTGTGCCTAGGAAGCTAACTGAGAAAGATTGTTTTAGCATGGTGGAGAAAATCAAGGCAAAATTAGGACTTTGGTCCAACAGATGGTTGAGTTATGCAGGTAGATTGCAGCTAGTGAAATCTGTCTTGCTTAGCATTACCAATTTTTGGTGTAGACAGCTTATTCTTCCCAAAGCAGTGGTTAGAAGGGTGAATCAGCTCTGTGCAAGGTTTTTTTGGAAGGGTGGTGACATTCCAGCTAAGGGTGCTCGTGTGAGTTGGGATTGCATCTGCTCACCTAAGTCTGAGGGGGCTTAGGCCTTAAGCAATTAGCTAGCTGGAACAAAGCTTGCATTTTGTTATTGGTTAAAGAGCTTCTTATGGCAAAGGGGTCACTTTGGGTTGCTTGGGTGAGATCTTACGTTTTTAAGGGAGTGGATCTCTGGTCTGTTGAAAGCAAACCATCTTTCAGTTGGTGCATACGGAAAATCTTAAAAGTTAGAGAGAAAGTGCAACCCCTATTCTCGGGGATCATGGACTGGGGCAAAAGTAATGCTCGTTGGCTGTGGCAGGAGATTAGAGGGAGGACAGTGAAGGTAGAATGGCATAAGGCTATCTGGTTTCCTTTGCACACTCCCAAGCACTCTCTCATTGCTTGGATGGCTATCCTCAACAGATTGCCAACAGTTGACAGACTTATCCGTATGGGGATCGGGGTGGATGATAAGTGTAGGCTATGTGGAGCCGAGGCCGAGACCCGCAGCCATGTCTTCTTTGAATGCTCATACTCGAAAGCTATTTGGGAGGTGATCAATCGATTGTGTAATATCGACAGAACAGTGGGAAGTTGGGATGAGGAATTAAGTTGGGCAGTCTCCAGATTCAGGAGGAAAACTTTTCTTGTTTTTATACTTAGAACTGCCTGGTGTGCATATATATACTGTATATGGGAAGAAAGGAATCATAGACAGTTTAGGGGTCACAGTAGGGATGATGCTAATGTAGTGAATTATATTATTGAGGTTGTTAGGATGAAATATGTTCGTATGGTCATACAGAGTAGTGTAGCCAACATGGACCTTTGTCTAGCTTGGGGAATTAGATCCTCCTAGGAGGTGGGTGTTGGTTTGTGCATTGTATTGGTTGTAGCAGTGTGTTTACTACTGCTTCTTGGATAATAATATGGAATTTATCCAAAAAAAAATTTAGTCTTTATCATTTTACACAAACATGTTAAAATAATATATTAAATATACAAACCAAGCGATTTAGTAATTAAGAGTCTGAACATATATTATTTTGTATTCACTTCAAAAATTATATATATAACATGTAAAGTATTAATTTTAATGATAAAATATATGATTAGATTTGAATAATATCTAATTTATTAAAAAGATAAGATCACAAAAAATATTAAAAGAGAGAATTAAAAACATTTTGAAAGTTAAAATCAAAATTGTATCTTCATGTTTGATATAATTAACTTGAATATAATAAGTAAAATATTGAAATTCAAACATAATATTCTGTTTTCATTGGTACCATACCAATCCATCTAGAGCTTCAACCGGTAGAGAGCTGGATTTGATAGCCTCGGCAGTGGAATCGCAACAAGTGGATTCTTCAACTTGAGAACAATACCAAACTTCTCCGACAGATCAAACTTTTCTTCCTCCGCCACTTTCCAATCAAAAGAATGCAAAACCGTGGCAACCAAATACAATACCATCCGCTCAGCCATTGCTACTCCGGCACACATTCTTCTGCCGGACCCGAAAGGAAAATAACTGAAGTCATTCCCACTGAAATCCAATCGACTGTTCAAGAACCGGTCAGGGTTGAACTCCAACGGGTTTTCCCATATGCAAGGATCCCTGTGAATTGCCCATGCGTTGATGAACACCCTGCAACCTTTAGGGATGGTGTAGTCGCCGACGGTGCAGGCTTCGCCGGGGCAGTGGGGCACCAGGAGAGGAAGAACCGGGTGCAAACGCAGCGACTCTTTCATGATTGCGAGTAGGTAAGGTAATTTATGGATATGAGATTCTTCCACGATGTTGTCTTTGCCAACAACTTCATCTAGTTCTTTCTGTGCTTTTTTCATTACTTCTGGATTGTTGATGACTTCAGCCAATGTAAACTCAATTGAATTGGAGGATGTATCTGTTCCCCCCACCACCATATCCTTACCAAATATTACAAAAACACATAGGTTAAAAAATATGCATAATGTTAAAAAATTATTTAACATTTCTTAATTTTTAGGGTAAAAATATTCTAGCATTAATTATTTGTTGATTAACCGTTTTTATCTATAGAAAAAAATTATCCTAAAATAAATTATTAAGAGTTTAAATACGTTATAAAATATAAAATAAAAAAAAATTATTTAATCAAACATAAATACAATTTTTCCATATCACTAGGAAAAAAATATAGAATTGGATTAGTAAATAGTAAATGATGTTGTCTGATGAGTTGGTAAAAAAAAATGTCAAAAACTCACCAAGAGCAAGGCTTTGATATGATCCATGGTGAGAGGTGTCTTGGAATCATTTTCATCCTTCAACTGTATCAGAATCTGTAAAAAGTCATTCACTTCCCCTAACGAGTTCTCGCTTTTTTTCTCCACCTTCAGCCGTTGATCGATCATGTTATCGATGATTCTATTCAACTTCTCCAATGGTTTTGCAATACGTTTGCATAGACCCTGCAAATCAAGCGGGGCAAGCACCGGGAAGAAATCGGAAATATTAGGCAGACCAAGAATCTCTGTTATTTCCGACATGACTTGCTTGAACTCCGCACCGGCGTTGGCCCCCGCATTCCCCTCCAACGTGCTTCCCCATAACATATTGGTCACCACATTCAATATCGTTTGAAACATTTGCTCACCGAGATTCACCGGCGCTCCGGCGTTACCGTATATATAATCCACGGTTTTCCGTACTTCTCTACAGCGGAGCATATACATCTTGTCCAAAGTAGCATTGTTAAGCATTTTGAGAACACATACCTTTCTTAACATCCTCCATTGAGGACCGTTGGGGCTCCAAACTATATCACGACCCCCGGTTGCTAACAGGCCGACCACCGGCACGTCACGGTTGGCGAATGTGATGTCTTGGTCTTTGAGTACTTCTCGAGCTGTGGACGGGGAGGAGATCAGGATACCAATCTTGCTTCCGAGCCGGAGTTTGACGACTGGTCCGTAGGTGCGAGCTAGTTGAGCGAAGAAAGAGTGAAGGTCGGGTTCAAGGAAAGGAAGGCTTCCCACTATAGGGAGGCCTCGAGGGCCTGGTGCTGATTTTGGGTTTCGGTTCTTGGATTTGATGCACATCAATGAATACCGGAAAATCACGAAAACGCCGACAAAGGTGAAAAAGAGGCGTGCAAAATCATCGGTTCGGCGGGTATCCATGCCGAACCACGACCAGATTTTAGAGTGAGAAATGTTAGAATAGGGAGAAGTTGAGATGATAGTCATGACCAAAAAGAATCAAGGGAGGTGGATAACTAGGTAGATGTTGCGGTGGAAAGCCTGTTGTACGCTATCTATTTTAATGACCAGCAGGTCGGGGGGCTATGTTTTCATAAATAGGTAGACACGTCACGCCATAGAAGTTTGTGGACTATAATCTTTATGGATATTATTATTTTATTTTTGATAAAGAAAATATTATTTTTATATTAGGTGGATATAATTATTTATGGCGAAAGTGTTAGGATATTGTTTTGACAAAAATGACTTACATGATGTATCGAGAAAATTATTTTTTTTAAGTATGATGAAATGAATAAAGTAAGGGGAAGTGGGTTAGAATATTTGACGTTTTCGGAAAGTGGAATCATAGAACAATGAAAAAGGAAGACAAGGAGGATTTTCTATGTTTTAAGAACTAGAAGGGAGAGTGTGCATACCCAGAACAATTACTTTCTTCTTCATCATCCATCTTCGACGGACCACCGCCCTTGAAGGAAGGAACGAAGGTGTGCTTTCAACAAATCAAGTGATCGGATGAAACTTGAACGATAAAGTTGTCAAACTTTGACAAGAGAACATACGAAGGAGGATTCTTCACTTACTCCTTGCTTTTCTTTCCTTTCTCTTGGTTTTTTTTATGAATATTTGGTTTGTTATAATGAATGATTTTGTCCAACCCATGAACTGGTTTTAACTGACTTTGATTATTATGGTGGCTGGATTTGTGTATTTGCAAATTCTTGGTAATTTTTAATATATATTATCTTATATATTATTATCGTGTTTTATTAATAGTTTGAGAATTTTTTTGGAAAATATTTTTCATCTATTTTTTTTTTAATTTTAAAAGAATTAAGACGTAGAGTAAATTGATAAATGATTTTACTCAAAGATAGAGTAATCTAATTTATCTCAAGTATAAGGGATAATTTTAATCAATGATATTCATTCTAGGTTCACGTAAATATGTATTGTCATGGCATGCTCTCATTAGGTCATTTTTTAAGATATAATAAATTAACATATTAAAGGACTCTATCTGGCAAGTAAATAATAAGAATTATCGGGGTAATTCGTGAATGAGCAAAGTCATGTTTCTAAGTAACCTAACCTTCCTAATCATTCTATTTTAAAATCTCAGTTGCCATCAAGATATCAATTGGCGTGGCAAGTTCTTTGTATTTTATTAGTTCTATCGTTCCTTAATCTAATAATATCTTATCAATTTCAATTTCCTATTTCAATGCAAACATCAATAATTCAATACCACCAATCCCTGTGGAGATAATTTTACTCATTATACAATTATTCGTTGACGTGTATTATGTAAATTGCACAACACTTAAAACACACAACGGAGGGACTGGTTGTTAACATTGGGCAGAGGTCGGATTGTGGCTATGGTTGGTAGCATTGGTAATTGGACAGGTTGTTAGCATTGGCCACTGTTGGAAGTGTTTAGGTAATGCTCGGTGTAGTTTAGAGGTTGTCAAATGGGGGAGCTTCTAGGGCACTTGGTGATGGTGTGGAGCTATGACCGAGAGGCCACAGTCTCCTGTTTTCTCTGCTTTTTCTTTACAGCTAAATCCTTACCATTATTAATTTTCATTAAATTGAAAACTTTGGATAATTCCAATGAATTGAAAACTTTCAAGGAGTTATCAAACAGTCCACATACATGATTTAATCCTTTTAAACCTATGTTGCATTGATATGGATACAAAGACGTATACGAGAATGAATACATAGATAAAAAATAACAAATATTAAAATTATAAAGTATATGTACGACAAGTATACAATAAATATTATATAAATTTTAAAATTTTAAAAAACATAAAAATGTCATAAATATTTATTAAAGTTCATTGTGATTAGAACTCTTTGATAAAAGATGACGATTATAGTGGATGTAAACCAATATTGAGCATGAATTGGATTTAACTTATTCTTCATAAGTGAGTGAATGAAGTAATAAGTACTCAAATTTCTTTAACAACTAGTACATGAAATAAGTTGTCCAAGCACTTGAAAGCAAAAGATTAGAGCAATTGAGTTTCGATACCAAAGTTAGTCTACCTACTTTTTGGATCCAAAGAATACCTCTTTGTAAGGGAAATTAAATCATAATTAAAAATAAAATCATATCCTAATTCATCTATATCATTGCTTTATTATTTAAATCTTAAAACTGATTCTAGATATGTACGTGAAGATCAAATATTGTCCCTGATAAGTTTCTAAAATTTTCTTCGACATATCCAATTAACGCCAGCCATACCCTTTAAACATGGAACATCCCCTGTACGTACCCAAGTTGTACTCGTCATGTACCCATGTTGGGGAGCTTTGAGTATTTTCTATTAATATTATTTTTTTCGTTTTTTGCATTTTATAAGTAGGAATATTTTATTTTCGTCCTTAATACAAAATTTTGTGTCCGTCCCTAATAATGGAGGAGACAAGTGTTGTCCATAATTTCTTTATATTAGTTATCTATTTTATTAGTGGTGTTCACATTAAAATTTTATTTATACTTGAAAATTTTCTATTATAAATATATATATTCACTCTCAAAAGTATTTTTGAATTTGTCATTGGTTTTAATGATTTGCTATATTACTGTCATTTCTTAGCAACCAAGACAACAAAATGTATCAAACGAAATAAAATGGTGAATTCAATTCACTGATTGCATGGTTTTGATTCATGCTCATAATTCTGTTGACATGAAGCACTAAATGTTGCAAACAAGGAAGTAATTGTTGATTGCAAATTAATTTTGATAAAGTCATGCCCATAATCTTCAAAGTTGTATGTAATTCCCATTTAAGACAAACATGCAATGAAACAAGTGATAATCCAGGAATCATCCATTGTTTTTGGCCAAATCTTTAGCTTTTTCAACGACATTACGTGTGCTAGTAAGTGGTAAATTAAAAGCTTTGTTAGAGAAGAATATAGACAAGTTGCAGTTTGAACAGATGAAATTTAACATTTTGCTCTCATTGAGTTGCAACGAATTTACATCATACGGCCACAACAAATTTGCAACAATCTCTAAGCTCACTTTCCGGGGACAAAGTTGTTGGCAAAAGCCCAGGCGTTGTTGTTGACGGGATCGGCAAGGTGGTCAGCCAAGTTGTCGAGTGGTCCTTTTCCGGTCACGATGGCTTGGACGAAAAATCCAAACATGGAGAACATGGCCAATCTGCCGTTCTTGATCTCCTTGACCTTGAGCTCGGCGAATGCCTCTGGGTCATCAGCAAGACCTAATGGGTCAAAGCTTCCACCTGGGTACAATGGGTTAGTCACCTCACCCAGAGGACCACCAGCAATGCGGTAACCCTCAACAGCTCCCATCAAGATAACTTGGCATGCCTATATGGCCAAGATGCTCTGAGCGTGGATCAAGCTAGGGTTGCCCAAGTAGTCAAGTCCTCCCTCGCTGAAGATATGAGAACCCGCCTTGAACCAGAAGACGAAGGTTTGAGCAGTTGAAGAGATCATCAGGGATTTCACCTGACATCCTATTTGGCCCCCATAGATAGAAATGTTAAATTTGGCAACTGCCCTAAACCTGATGCAATTTTCCCTGTTATATTATTAAAACCCAAAGATATAGCCTGAATATGGGTACAATTGACAATGCTCGGAGGAATCGATCCCTCAAGATGATTGCGTTCAAGGCTCAAGTTCTTTAGATTGTAAAGCAATCCAAGATTTTGTGGAAGTTATCCTGTGAGAGAATTGTAGCTCATTGACAAAGATGTCAAATTTGTCAAGTTGGTTATTGATGAAGGAATCCCTCCCTTGAACTTATTGGAATGCAGGGTCAGTACTTGTAACGAGGCTAAAGATCCAACCTCATCTGGTACTGTTCCGATCAACTCATTCTCCGAGAGTCCTAAATGGGTTAATGATTTCAATTGGAACAAGGAAAGAGGAATTGTGGAATTCAACTTGTTTCCATACAATCTTAAAGTCTGTAAGATTGGACTCTCCGAGAGTCCTAAATGGGTTAATGATTTCAATCGACACTTCTTTAAACCATTGAATTACTCGATAAATTCATTAATACACAATAGTTAAAGTAGTAGGACAACTTCATATTCTTTATCATATTCAACATAAAATAATAAGTTGGATTGTCACGGAATATTGGCGCTGCTGCTAAGCCTATCGACAGTAGGTGTGGTTAACGAGATGAGCAGCTCGTGAGTAGCTCAAATTTGATTTGGTCAAAACTTGATAAACGTTCGATTCGAGTTGACTCGACTCGAGACCTTAACGAGGTGAGTCGAGTAAAGTCTAACTCGACTCGGTAAGTTTTGTTAATTTTAAAAAATATATTTTTAGTAATTACTTCAAAATTATTTGATTCAAAAAATAAATCTAAATAATAATTATTAATTTATTAATAAATAATAAAAAATAATAAGTTAACTAATCTATTATTTTTAATAAATAATAAAATATTATTAACTAATAATATTATTTTAATATAAAAAAACCAACCCTAATATCCTCATAGTATTAGTAAAATTTATTTTTAGTTAAAAAAATAAGGTAATTTTTTTAGTGAGCTTAACGAGTAACAAGTCGAGCTTAACGAGTAACGGGACTAGTTGAGCAGCAAATTTTTTTAACGAGCACGAGTCGAGCACAATTTTAACGAGCAACGAGTCGAGTCGAGCAACAAACTTTTTTAACGAGCACGAGTCGAGCGTTGCCCAACTCGCGATCGACTTGCTCGATAAGCACCCCTAATCACCAGCCCTAATTTTTGTATTTTAAACATAGTTTTTTCATTAGTTTATTATATAATATTTTGAAAAGAAGCTTCTTTATAATAATTATTTTAAAAAATAAGTAATATCAATTATACTTGAACTTTTATGTTATAAATATAGTTTTGTCGTTTTTATTCAAATTAAAATTTGGAATAAGTCGGGATGGATCCAGTTTAAGGATACAAATTATTAAGATAAATTACTTATTTAATCATTTAACTATTATTTTATTTTATTTTATTTTTATTCATATATTATTTCAATAATTCTATTAATATTTTAACGATAGAAGATCAAAATAAAACCAAAATGTAAGGTTAATGATGATTTATAAAAATAGTTTGATGATCAAAATAAAATTAAAATGATAATTAAATAACTAAATACATAATTTACCCAAATTCTTAACACGACTCAATCAAGTTAAATTACGAACATACCCTTATAGATAGTATATGTAAGATATTTTACCTTAACATTCATTTTACTATCCTAACTTTCATTTGATGCTTCCCTTCTAGGGAATGGCACATGACTCGAACTTGATGGCTTCCGATCCGATCGGTTTGGATTTTTTTTTATAAAAAATTCGAATTTGAGTCGAGTCGAATTTGAATTTAGAGTGAAAAATATCCGACTAAAAAATATAATTTTAGCTTATATATTTAGGATAATTATGATAATATCATTCTATATATTATTTTTTCAATTAAATCCCTATTTTTATTGAATAAAAATAATATTTTTTTAATAAATATATTATTTAGGGTCGTGTCAGGTCGAATTCGGGTCGGGTGGAGAGTGTATATTTTTCGGGTTCGGATCGGATTGGATGGAGGATGTATAACTTTCGAGTCATGATGAGTTTACTGAAAATTGACCCGACCTTACCTATATCCATTTCTGCTCCCTTCTTACCCGTTATATTTTTCAATAAACCTTTCTCTCATTTTGATCTAATTGAAAAATAAGTGTTCAAACTATATATTTATTTATTTTAGGTGTTTAATTTTTTTATCAAAATAAATATCTAACATTTTCAAAATTAACATTTAAGATGTTTTTTTTTTGGTATCCCAAGGTGTCCCCAGGCTTCGCCTGAGACTAATCTTCCGAGGTACTGTCGGGCATGAAAGGTGGGAGTTCTCCCAAAAAAAATTTCTGCATCTATAAGGGCTCAAACTTGAGACCACTTGCTTAAGCAACCAGAGCCCCTTCCACTCATGCCAACCTTTGTTAATACATTTAAGATGTTTGTTCGTTAACAAAACAAGCGTTTAAAGAAAATATATTGTCCAATCACTTGGATACGCAGCATGTTTTCTAATTTCTTTTAACTTTATTTTATAAAATTAAAATCTCAAAATTATCTAAAATTTCTAAATTCCTACCTCCAAATTCTCATATTCATGTTAATGTTGAATCAGCCACCATTTGTCATTCTTTCTATCACCAAACTTTCATCGATTCGTCCTCTTGTTGTCACACATCATTATCTGAAATCATACTCCAACCCTAAATTCCATCTTATAATTTTTTTCATTTAACCATGGCATGTTTATTATCGTTGGTAAAGCTACGCCATCGCTCGAACCTCCGACGCGCACTCACCGCATGCCAAGTAACATTCCTAAATCAAAACTGAAACTATTCGATGGTTTTCAACCCTAAACCAAAGAACAAGATACAAGCCCAAAGTAGGGTAAATTAAAATGGGTCAATAGTCAAGAGTAAAAGGACTCCGGTTCGAAAGCCCACAGCTCGGGTTCATTCATCTTGTCTCCCTCTCTCTCCCTCTCTCTCTCTCTCTCTCTCTCTCTCTCTTCAGAATTTATCATTAGTTCCTCGCCGTGAGTTCTTTGAGAACTCAAATCTGAAAATTTGGTTCGAAAAGATAGAAGAATGGGAGAATGGAGCCGCAGCGTTACCCCTCTAGTCAGAGGCTTCTGTTTACTTTATGTTATCCACAAATACATCGGCACTACCGTCATTGTAAGAAAACGAAACAAGCTCATCGATCATCATTTTATTTCATTTCAATTTTCGTTTCTGGGCTTTAATTTTTTACTTTTGAATTTGTGGGGCGGGGGGGCGCAATGACTGGGAACTCTGAAAGACTTATGGCCCCAGCATGCTTCCAACATTGAGCATAACAGGCAACGTGTTGTTGGTGGAACGCATTTCGACCAGAAGCGGCAAACTTCGACCAGGTGACGTTGTGATCCTACGGTCGCCCGAGGCTCCTAGGAAAGTTGTCTGCAAACGGCTGATGGGAATGGAAGGTGATCAAGTCACCTACGTCGTCGACCCCAAGAACAGTGATAGATGCAAAACTGTCGTGGTAGTATTTCTTGGATTTCCAGTTTTTCTATATTCAATGAATTAAAATGTTTTTTTGTGAATAGGTTCCTAAAGGGCATATTTGGGTAGAAGGAGATAACATCTATAACACAAAGGATTCAAGGAATTTTGGAGCTGTTCCTTACGGTCTTCTCGAAGGCAAAGCTTTTTGGACGGTTAGCCTTCACTCTTCATCTTTCACCAGTTTTTTAAGTGCTTGTCATTACCCAATTTTGACGACTTCTTCTCTGTTGTTTCTAGTTTTTGCCTCGTAAAGATTTCGGAACCTTGCCACCTAAACCCAAATAGTTTTATTAGATCGGAAGATTTTCTGGGTCTGTTGCACACCAAGTGTTTGTCAAAACGTCTCTCAAGTAGCATGTGTAAGAGTTTATGTACGTTGTTCGACTGCTCGTAAGGTCGGCTATTGTAATTGTTCTTTTAAATGAATGCTCAATTTGTGCAATCCGAACCCATACATGAATCGATAATATTCCCAATTTCCAGCTGAAATTGATGACTACAAGGTATCAGAAACACACTGAGATATATCTGATAAAAAGGAATTCTCAATCCAGTTAAGGAACAATAGAAAGAAGCATCGTCAATCTGTGATAAAGCACCTGCAATCATTAAGACACAATTACGTTTATGAAGCTAGAAAATAAAAGATAGAACAACCAACCAATAGAGAGCTGTATAGTGAAATATCAATAAAGGAGTAAATAGTAAATGTAGGGGTGTTTACTTTTCGGGTTCAACTAAATTAATTGACTGAATCCAATTAGTTGGGTTAAATAATCGGTCACCAAAATTAGTTCGGTCGGAGAGCGGGATGGAGGTGTGAATTGCTTTGTTCACCTTTGTCCTATATTAGCATAAACGTTGAAAATATCCATCTTTATAGATATTGATTATATTTACTTTGTTTTGTGTCACTCTACCTCACTTCTTTTATTAAAGTTTTTAAATTTAATATTATAAAATTATCCAGAGGTATTGCTTCAGAATAACGAGCCTCTATAATTAACAAGCACAACGTACCTTTTCGGAACAACGAGCCTCTATGATCAACAAGCGCAACGTACCTTTTTGGAACAACGAGCCTCTATGATCAACAAGCGCAACGTACCTCTTCGGAACAACGAGCCTCTATAATCAACAAGCACAACCCAACAGTAAGTAACTTTGATACTGCTCAAGGCATCCTTTCACTGCGGGCTACACTATCAACTATTGTTCAACATTTGATAGCTGATGAATGGGGCAGTTTAGTGGAGGCAATCATTTCCCTGCTGAACAACTAATAAGTTAAGAAGATAGATCCATTATAACTCTAATATATTTTGTCATTAGGCATCAATCCTCCTTTACACCGCTCTACCACTTGTCACCCATGACATAGAGTATATAATTGATCATTCTTTCTCAGTATAGAATTGATCATTCTTTCTCAGTATAGAGTTGATCAGTCTTTCTCAGTATAGAGTTGATCATTCTTTCTCAGTATAATTGATCAATCCTCGTTTCTCATTTGAATTCTTTCCCCTTTCATTCAACCAACTTCTTGTTTTTCAATCCCTACATCAACTATGCTGGAAATTCTGTTGCCTATCTACTTGGAATGACTTTACACACACGTGCGCACATATATATAATGTTACCAACAAGGTGGAACACATTAAACCGCAAATAGCTACTTATATGAAAGCAATCCGATAGAGGTAGTTCGCACCAGTTCATTTGCTAGGAATGAAGTAATAGTACTTAATAAGCAGTAAGCCAGTAACTAACTTACTATTCTCACAAGTCTCTTCTCTTCTATTTTTCTCATTTGGTGATTCTCTATGTTTATGCCGTCCCTTGAATTGAATAATTTAATGTCATCTGCGTTCTCATCCTATTTAATTCCATTTACTAGAGAACCCATTTTTTGTTGCTTGCTCCTCTATTTTTGCAGCCTTCTTTGTTATTTATAATATTTGTAAGTTTATCTGTTTTTTAGCAGGTCTATCGTGAGTGCCAGTGAGGCAGCAAAGGCCGGAATTCCATTAGGAGGGCTTGAAAACAGTCCTCAAGTTGGTCATAACTCCACCAATAAATTGCTGTTAATTGGATTTTGACTGTTGCATTTTTTAGCTCTGGTTGAATGCTTTAATTTGTTGAACCGTCAAAAACCCTTGCTCTAGCATGTTGTGAACTTATGTAAAATCAGCACTAGATTGAAAAGTTTCTTCTTTGTTGTTGGGTCACTAGGAATTTACAAGTTCCAATAAACTAACAAATTTCCATTTATTGATGCTGAAAGATTTTTTTCCCATAGCTTCTATAATTTTTTCTCAAGCCTTTTCAACTTTCATGATTCTAAATTCAATATTAGCATGGTATGCTTCAAAATTCAGACTATTTTATGGTAAGATGTAGGATTTCTTTTTGCAGATTGATTTTGCATTTGATGATGTTGACATGATAGAGGAAAGGACACTAATCTCTGTCATCGGACGCAAGAGATTGCAAGGTGAGGAGTCCATAATTCAAGAGAAGGTGAGTTAGTTTTTTTATCTGTCCTATTTTTTTTTATCTGTCCTATTTCAATGGCTCTCTAGTCAGAGCCCCAGCTTGGAAACTTATCAGAAGACATGTAAGTATTCATGTTATTTCATAGCATTATTGTACTTTTATACAATCTAAAAATTAGTTCAAAATCTGGTTTAGTTTACTTTATTCTGTAGCACTTACAGCCGACTTTAACTTGTAGTTGGTGCTAAGCATGGCTGATCAGCTTGTATTCATGGTTACAGAAAATCAGTATAAATGTGGTCTAGAGGGATCTATTCCAGTTGTAGTTGAACCAGTAAGTATCTAAATCAACCTGCTCACTACTTTTGTAAATATGTGAATGAAACCTCTGCAATGGACAAAAGGATAAGAAAGATGAACTGATTAATCCTTGTATATTCTTTTAGCTGAATTGGCTGGAAACTGCCGAAGAGATTGAAGACCTATATTTAGGTGATGCAGAGGTATGATATTTACATGTATTCATGTGTGTTTGTGTGCGTATCATTTTGATGACATTTTGGAGAATTTTTAGTCTTTTTGACTGCTATGGGCCGAACCAGTGTTAGGAAAGGTCATTAATTTTGATTGGCTTAATATAAGATTTGATACTGAAATTTGTCAATTTTTTCTAATGTGGTACTTTTTTTTTGTTGAAACAAAAAGCCAAGTATTCGATCAAATGTTAGGTTAGTAACTTTCTGGTAAGATACAAAGGTAAACCTTGATCAAAACCAAACATTGTCAGCCTCTACTGAATTTTCTTCCTCGTGTATTAAACCTTCCTAAATCAATTTCTATAAACACCATGTTTGTTTCAGGTAGAAACATAACTTACACAAATGATAGTAGTTAGGGGCTGTTTGTTTGCTTCTTAATAGAACCATTCAGCACTGAATGCTGAACCGTTCAGTATTCAGCACATTTGTTTCGCACCTCTGAATGATTCAGCAAAATAGTGCTGAATGATTCAGAGCATTATCAAACAGCATGTCACATTCAGAGCTAATTCATATAGAGCCTCTGAATCATTTAGCATTTGAATCATTCAACGTTTAATCATTCTGAAGTAAACAAACATCTCTTTACTTTTTTAGTTGAATTGATCCAATTCCTTTCACTTTGGAGAGTGATCCATTTGCCGTTCGAAAAGTTGAGAGACTAAGTTGTGGGCTAGATTTGTGAAACCCACAAAGCATGCCTGTCCTGTGATCTGGAACTCCAGAATCTCTTATCCAAGATCTCTTCTGCTATATTTGCAAAAGAGAGAGTACCTTGTACTAGCATGTTTGGATGTTGTTCATTGGAGGTGTCGATGATTGTGCTGGTAGGATCATTGTCGGAGCTTGAACTGACCTCCGACGATGATGTAGGTGGATTCTCCATGACTTTCTAGGTTTGATAACCTAGAGAAATTGAGAGGAGAAAAAAATTCTAATTGAAAATCTCACTGAAAAACATAAAACACGGCCTGTTTTCTTATAGGCTATGGATTACAAGTTAAAGTCTTACCAGGTTTTTTTCTTTCTTAACTTTTGTATCCTAAACCTTATCTCTTAAGAAACTTACTCCTAATCGCACAATATAAATAAATTAAAACTTTGTCTCCTAAAATAAAATAAACTTCTAATTAACATAAAATTTGTAATTGTTGGCAATTTTCTACAAATCCATCACTTGAAATTCTTCTCATTAAAATTTCAAACATTTAAGAGAAAAGTTGCAATACACCAGGTAAGTAAAGGTGTTTCATCTACAGAGCATTCTATGTTCTAAATCACGGGCTTCAGAGTAAAAGTTAAACTGTCAACCAGTGACCTTTCTTATTTCCTTTTCCACGAACCCTCTTGCCAGTTATAAGAAGCTAGCTTAGTGTTTTGGTTTTATAGTTATAGTTATAAAGAGCTATTCATTTGCGAAAATTTTATTGAACCGAGCGTGTAGTCTTTTTTCTACTTTAATGATTTGTGAAGGTATGGAGAAGACCATCTATGGGACAAGCAGATTCGCTTGGAGGAGACTTTCCATTAGTCACTAAAGAAGGTCATAACATTATGTTGCGGAAGACGATTATCGGATAGAGTAAAATCGCAACTGATAATTTGAGAAAATAAAAATGAAGATAAAAGAGACACAAAATTTACGTGGAAACCCCTAAAAATTTAGGGTAAAAACCACGGGCAACAGTAGAAGAATTTCACTATGAGAAAATAGGAATTACAACTTCTCTCGATCTACCAAGGAGAAAACAATGATAATTCTCTCTTGATAAAAAGGAGAAAACAACTCTCAAGAAACTCTCTAAATTCTCTCTAGTATTGTAAGAAAGCTAGAATGCTTTGGGATGGTTTTGAAGTTAAATGAGCTAGGATATTTATAGTTGAAGCTTAAGGACTAATTTGTAAATACCCTAAATTATAATGACTAAAATGAGATTTTACCATTGTTGAAAAAATCAACAATTTCCAGCTTCTTTTCGGTGTATTAATTTTGCACATTTCAGTGCTGACTTTTAGCAATCTCCCACTTGAAAATTTGATTGGAACAATCATATCTTCACACCATTCTTTCTACCTTGTATCTTCATGTTGCTTACGTTTCTGTTAGGCCACAAGAGGATTGACACCAAATAAATTTATCGGCATTGATCGCATTCGTCATGAAATCTGCTATGTTGTCTTTGGTATGGATCTTCTGCATATCTACAGTTCCTTCTTCCACCTTTTTACGAATGAAATGGTATTGAACTCATATGTGCTTTGTCCTTGAATGAAATGATAGATTCCTTGCTATATGCAAGGCGCTTTGACTGTCACAAAACAGAGAGACATACTCTTGATTGTGCCCAAGCTCCTCCAATAACATCTTCAACCAAATTACTTCTTTACTGGCTTGTGTAGCTGCTACATATTCTGCCTCTGTTGTAGATGTAGCAACAACTGACTGCAATTTTGAAACCCAGCTTACAGCTGCACCAGCAACTTTGAACACATATCCTGTAGTAGATTTGCTTTTATCCAAATCTCCTGCATAGTCAGAATCTACATAACCATTGATTAGTAAATTTGATCCTCCGTAACATAATGCAACATTTGAGGTCCCTTTGATGTATCTCAGGATCCTCTTTACTGTATTCCAATACTCTTTGTCTGGATTCGCAATGTACCGACTGACCACTCTCATTGCTTGTGCAATGTCTGGTCTTGTGCATATCATAGCGAACATTAAACTTCCCACTGCTGATGCATAAGGTACTCAAGACATCTCCATCCTCTCTTCTTCACTACTAAGACTCATACTGGAGGATGATTTGAAGTTAATAGGAAGAGGGGTAGAAATTGGCTTATAATCTTGCATGCTGAATCGTGACAAGATCTTCTTCAAGTAATTCTTTTGTGAAAGCAAAATATTCCTATTACTTCTGTCTCGGTGAATTTGCATCCCTAGAATCTTGTTTGTTGATCTCAAGTCCTTCATTTCAAATTCCCTAGTCAGTTGTGCCTTCAATTCTTCAATATGATCTTTGTTGGGTCCTGCAACCAACATATCATCCACATACAACAGCAATATAACAAAATCGTTATCACCAGACCTCTTGAAATAAGCACAAGGGTCTGCATTAAGTTTGTTGTATCCAAGACACATAATGAAGGAATCAAATCTCTTATATAAACACCTTGGCGCCTGGTTTAGACTGTACAGAGATTTGTTCAACCTGCAAACCAAGTTCTTCTTTTATTTTTCTTCAAAACCTTCAGGCTGGAGCATGTAAATTTCTTCTTCAAGATTTCCATGAAGAAAAGCTGTTTTAACATCTAGCTGCTCTAGATGTAAATTCAATGTAGCACACATTGCCAAGACTACTCGAACTGTTGTTAGTCGAATCACAGGAGAAAATATTTCATTGAAATCAATACCTTCTTTTTTAGCATATCTTTTGAGCACCAGTCTTGCACGATACCTGTCTACTTGATCGTCACCATTTCGCTTGATTTTGAAGACCCATTTGTTACCAATTGGCTTCCTTCCTTGTGGTAGTGGCACAAGGTCCCATGTATTATTTTTATGAAGGGCTTCAATTTCTTTTTGCATCGTCATCATCCATAGTGAAACATCTGAGTTGTTTATTACCTCCTGGTATGTTGATGTCTCACCGTCCTCTGTTAAAAGGCAGTATGCAATATTACATTCTATAACATAATCTGAGTGACATTTGGGACGTCTTCTCACACGATCTTATTGGCGAGTTGTTGGTGCTTCAGAACTCTCTGGTTCTTGTTCATCATGTGCTGGTTCTACTTCAGAAGAATCTCCTTGTTCAACCTCTTTTTCCACATGTATCTGTGTAGTCTCTGACTTTTCAGCGCTATCATCATCTTCTTTTCTTTGTAGTTTATCTTCTACAAATATAACATCCCTGCTGATGATCACTTTGCAGGCAGTGGGATCCCACAAGCGATATCCCTTGACTCCATCAGCATACCCCAAGAATTTGCATTTCCTGGATTTTGGATCCAACTTTGAGATTTCTTGGGAGTTGTACATCACGTACACAATACTTCCAAATACATGGAGGTTTGAATAATCAGCTGGTTTTCCAGTCCACATCTCCATTGGTGTCTTTAACTCTATTGCAGTTGATGAAGCTCGATTCACCAAATAACAGGCGGTATTGATTGCTTCTGCCTAGAATGATTTTTCTAGGCCTGCATCCCTCAACATTGCTCTTGTTCTTTCTAACAAGGTTTTGTTCATCCGCTCCGCCACTCCATTTTGTTGTGGAGTGTTCGCCACTACGAACTGTCTTTTGATGCATTCTTTCTTGCAAAAGTCATCAAATTCTTCACTTGTGTATTCTTCCCCATTATATGTTCTGAAACACTTGATCTTATTTCCAGAATCAAGTTCCACCCGCGCTTTGAAGTTTTTGAAAGTTAAAAACACATCTGACTTCTTCTTAATAGGGTACACCCAACATCTCCTGGAGTAGTCATCAATAAATGAGACAAAGTATTTTGCTCCGCCTAGGGATGTAACTGGTGCTTGCCATACGTCAGAGTGAACCAATTCTATAACACCTTTGCCTCTAGAATTTGATGTGTTGAATTTCAATCGGTGCTGCTTACTTGTTATGCAATTCTCACACAAAGGAAATGATACCTTTGTTAAGCTTGGAAGTAACTTTTGCTCCACAAGGACTTTCATTCATTGTTTTGACATGTGCCCAAGTTTCTGATGCCATAGCATTGCAGAATCTGAACTACATGAGGCAACAGAGGCTTCTACTTCTAGCAAAGTCTCTCCCTTCAGCATGTACAAGTTTGTTGCTATCTTTTCGCCTTTCATCACCACAAACGCTCCACGAAACACCTTCATGATTCTTTTTCGTGTTTCAATCTTGCTTGCATTATTATCCAACAATCCGTAGGATACTAAATTTTTCTTCAGGCCTTTCACGTGCCGCACATCTCGAACAACTTTAATTGTTCCATCATAAATCTTCAATTTGATGGTTCCCACGCCAACGATCTTTAAGGCATGATCATTGCAACTATACACAAATCCTCCTGAGACATGTTCATAATGATGGAACCATTCTTTTCTTGAGTTCATGTGATATGTTGCTCCTGAATCAATGAGCCATATATCTGCAAATCTTTTTCTGCCTTCCACGGTGGTTGACGTTTCACAGCATAAAGCATCTTCATCATCTGAAGTGTTTGCGGTATTGCCTTGTGGATTGGAGTTTTTATTTAGACTCCAACAATCCTTTTTCAAGTGACCCTTCTTTCCACAGTTATAGCACTTTAAATTCTTCTTGCTCCTCGACTTCGATCTACCATGTTTATGACTGCTGCTTTGGCCACGTTCTGTTGATCTCCCTCTCGTCGTTGTCAACGCTTCTGCTTATTGCAGATTTACTTGTTTGTCTTCCTTGTTCTTGCGCTGATTTTCTTCTTGTAGAACAACAGCTGCAACGTCATCGAAGACTAGACTGGTGACATTACTGTTTGTCAAGTTGATGATGAGTTGATCATACGAATTTGGTAGACTTTGAAGTAGAAGTTCAGCTCGTTCTTGTTCTCCTATTGTACATCTTAAAGATGTAAGCTGAGAAAATAAAGTGTTTAGTGTGTTTAGGCATACAGAGAGTGTACAATTTCCTCTTAAGGAAAATTTTATTGTGCAGCGATGTGGCCTCGTACAGTTTGGTGAGATGATCCTATATCTCCTTAGATGTCTTTTTCTCCTCGATGCTTGACAATACTTCATCTGCTAATGCTAGATGAAAGTTTGACATAGCATTCCCGTCCATTTCGATCCATTTGTTGTCATCTGTGAAATTCACTTGCCTTTCACTGATAGTTGCTAGACAATCGTCTTTCCTCAGGATATCATTCATCTTCAATTTCCACAATGAGAAATTTCTCCCATTGAATTTTTCAATATCAAATTTCGTTGCCATAGCTTCTTTTACGGATAGCTCCCACTATTTCACTATCGTGAATAGTTCTCTAGAACCTTCAAAGAATGGGTAATACCTTCTTACTTTCTTATGTTGGAGGATCCACCTTTTGGTGGCAACCACAAAGACAATAAGCAGATATTACACACTCTAATCTGGCTCGGATACCAATTGTTGCGGAAGACGGCTATCGAATAGAGCAAAATCGAAACTGATAATTTTAGAAAAGAAAAATGAAGATAAAAGAGACACAAAATTTACGTGAAAACCCCCCTAAAAATTTAGGGTAAAAACCACGGGCAACGGTAGAAGAATTTCACTATGAGAAAATATGAATTACAACTTCTCTCGATCTACCAAGGAGAAAACAATGATAATTCTCTCTTGATAAAAAGGAGAAAACAACTCTCAAGAAACTCTCTAAATTCTCTCTAGTATTGTAAGAAAGCTAGAATGCTTTGGGATGGTTTTGAAGTTAAATGAACTAGGGTATTTATAGTTGAAGCTTAAGAACTAATTTATAAATACCCTAAATTATAATGACTAAAATGAGATTTTACCATTGTTGAAAAAATCAACAATTTCCAGCTTCTTTTCGGTGCTGACTTTTAGCACATTATCGATGTCATCTTTACATCTCCAATAGTCAGTCTTGGTAGGTTTGAGACATCATTTGTGCTTTTGAATTTTGCTAGCAATTTTTGCTTTTAGTTTCTTTTGTAATCTGCGTAATATATTTGTAGCTGAAGTTGCCGAAAGCCTTGAAAATGTTGATGGTGTCTTAGAACATGGAGTCGTCTCTAAATTCCCGTGAGTTCCATCTTCTCTTTCGAACTTCCTTTTTTTTTTCTCGCATACACTGCGTCGTTGATGATATGCTGAAGAAAGCCAAGTCGACCGACAGAACAAACACGTTTAATCCGAATGTATCTGCCATTCATACATTTAATCCAATAATCTTTCTTCTAACTCGTATGATATTGGACTTGGACTACAGTTGCAAAGCAATTGCTGCTTCTGAAAGTGGATTGTCAATTGTTGATAACATTACAACAAATGCAGTCGGGGGAGTTTAACCAGAAGCGATTCAATTCGTTCCATTGAAGCATGTGCTCTTCTTCGGCATAGCTCTTTAGATATGTAACCTTACAAACTGAATATTAGCATGAAATTGTTCTTTTTTTTTTACTGAGAGAATCATATCATTGAGGTTTACATTCATATATCTCTAACTATAGCTATTGTATAGACACTTTCAATTTCTATTTTATTACCTGTCTTTTTAATTATGAAAAACAAAAAAGGCTTGATACATGAAATGACTTTTATATTTTAGTGATTTTCATTTTGACCATTTTATTAAATTTTTTGTTAGTTTAGCCCCTCAACTTCCAATTTGTTATCACTTTATTCGTTTGACATTTTCCAACCCAAAAAAAACACAATGTGGTCCAATCAATTGGTTTTTTCCATTTGTAATTATTTTTTTAGTTCTTTTTTAAATGTATCATTTTCAGTACATATCATTTTCTTTTTAAAGGAAGCTATTTAAGGGTTAAAGTGATAGTGAATTGAAAGTTGATGGTAAAAGTAATTGGAAAATAGTAAAAGGACCAAAGAGAATTTTATTAAAATAGGCAGTATCCTAAGGTAAAAAAGAAAAACTAAATTTTACCCTCATGTGAAGGGGAGGCATTGGCTCAGAGGAAAACTAAAGAAGCTATGAATTGAATTGATCTCATTAACAATCACTTCGTTGAACTCAATTTGCACAAGCACCTCTTTTTTTTAAAAAAAAAAGAAAAGAAAAAGAACTCAAATATTTTTAGGGTAAACTACACAAATGGTCCTTTGACTATAGCACAATGCTTTGTTGAGTCCCTCAACTATTAAAAATTACAAAGCAATACCCAAAATATAGAGCATTGTTTGTTGAGTCCCTTAACTATTAAAAGTTATAAAATAGTCACATGACTATTCATATATTTTAAACTAGTCATTTTTCGTTAAAAAATTGACTGCAATTTGAACTGGACGTTAACCTACTTACTAGGATATGATAAAATATGATCCTAGAATCTCAAACGACTATCATATCTTACTTAGCATGTTAACGTCAAACTCCGAAGACTGTCAATTTTTTAACAGAAAATGATGAGTTTGGAACGTATGAATAGTTAGGTGACTATTTTATAACTTTTAATAGTGGAGGGACTCAACAAAGCAATGCTATATAGTTGGGAAACTATTTGTGTACTTTACCTATGTTTTTAATACATGAAATATAGTTTATATATTCAAAATAAATTTTATAAATAATTCATATTAATTATTTAAAGATATTAAAAATTTAAACTTCATATATCAAGGTATTACTAATGAGTCAACATAATTTACATGCACATGAAGCATCATTTTAGGTCATATCTTCATGGCTATGCGACATATATGCGTGTCAAACACATGTATTTTAAGACAAACGAAGAGTCAAAGTAACATAGTTATGATATCGAATCCTAGATTAAAACAATATATATATTCAACAGTCATTTATGATTTTATTAAAAAAGACCAATAGAGAATGAAGCTCCCCTGAATGGTTTGAAAGACATCCAGCAAGACATGCCTAAGCTAAAGTTCGTTTTACAATCTAGTTTGGGCTCTGTTACCTTCTTCTGGTTTACTTTAGCTGAGGAATGCATAGTGGGATGTGATTCAAATTACGATAAGTGATCGTTTTGCAATCTAGTCGGATTCCACCACGACATGGTGGCAGTTTTGCTCTCGGATTATTCCGGATCCAAGACATATCGTCAGGGCTTGTCAAGAGAGAGCTGGCCTAGATGTTGCATCAAAAGAGGACGTGAAGACACTTTGGTCTTTGTGTTTTTAAGAAAGGAAATTACTTTGTTTTCGGTAGGCCAAATGATGGTATAAGCCATTAAAGATAAAAAAAGAGTTGAAGCTCGGAAGCGGGTATGAGTCGTCTGGATAACAAAACGATTGATCTTCACCGAAAAGCGCATCTATCATCATCGCTTCGTAGTGCACCAACCGGGAATCGAACCCGGGTCTGTACCGTGACAGGGTACTATTCTACCACTAGAACACCGGTGCTCGTTGGCGATTGTGGGAAATATAAATCAATAATTTCTGTGTTTTTTTTAATTGCAATTTAAACTGTCACCTGTAATCTCTCTTCTTTCCATAACTGATCCCAAATCCTAATCCTTTGGCCCCTCCTTTCATTGCTTTTCAAAAGTATTTCTACAATAAAAAACAATAGATAACACATAATGGTGAGCTTCTTACCATTTTCTGGTTTAATTACACTTTAAGGCTTTCCAAATTTAAAATTAGTGAAATTAAACTATAATTCCTTTAAATTTTATGGTTTATTTCATTTTAAATACCTCATTAATTTTAAACTTAAACAATTTACCTCCCTTATAATTCCGCCCCTTGCTCCATGCATGAGGCTTAGGCTTGAGAAGTCTAAGAAATTGGGAACAAGTTTCTTAATATCCAACCACCAGTCGGCAAAGAATTAGAATCCCATAAGTTTCAGCCTTTCAGGCAGTGTTTCATTAATTTTTCTGCACACCTCATGCAACATGCACTCAAGCTTCTGGTCGTCGCAATAAGTTATATTTGCTATGGTCCATTTCACCTTATTTAGCCGTACAACGGAAGAAAATTACATTGTTATGGAAGATGGGTATTTCCGGTAGGCCAGAGGTTATGGTTCGGCAGTGGATTTGTTTGAGTTAGTCCATGGAATTGCAGGTTTCAGTAGGAGAGAAGGATGATAGAAGCCATTAAAGATTTGAATATTTTGAAACGAATTTGATTGTTTTGATAAAAGGGCTTTGAAATTGCCTCGACAGTTGCATTGTTTTCTTTTCATGAAACTGTACATCAAATGTCAACAAACAAAGAAGGGAAAAAAATTGAAGCTCTGAAGCACTAATGTGTCGTCTCGATAGATATCAACAATTGTGAAGAACCCTAATCTCCACCGAAAACCGCAGAGCTATCCTTATTGCTTCACAGTTCACCAACCGGGAATGGAACCCGGGTCTGTACAGTGGCAGGGTAGTATTCTACCAGTAGACCACTGGTACTCGTTGGCTAAAGTGGGAAATATAAATATATAATTTGTGTTTTTTTATTACAATTTAAACCGTCACCTCTAATATCTCTTCTTTCCATAACTGATCTCAAATCCTAATCCTTTGGGCCCTCCTTTCATTGTTTTTCAAAAGTATTTCTAGAGTATATATATATATATATATATATAACATAATTTTTTTAAAATTAATTTTCAACTTGAGTTGAAATTTGTAATTTTTTATTTTTATCTCAAGAATATTTTGGTTATCTTCATTCCTATCGAACAATCTTTTATATTTTTAAAAGTAATGTCTAAATAAATATTTATTTTGACAAGAATATTAAATATTTAAATTTTATACTAAACAATTTTCAAACACTCTGCAAAAACATTTTTCCATAACAATTTAAGATAACGTTTAAGGAAATAATTAAATGGAAATGAAAGAATAAAAGAGGAAAGGGAAGAGAAATATAGTTGTTAAATTTAAGAGATTGCAATAATTTAAATTAATTGAGTTGTTGATTTCTAATTGGATTTTTCTATTAAAGATAAAATTTTATTTAGAAATAGAGATTATAAATATTCTTAAGATTTATAGTTTCTTATAAAAAATTCTTCTTCTTTTTTTTATAAATATGTGTTAAATATAAGATGTAGGATATGCTCGGTAACTTTAAACCATTTAACAACGAACTTTCATACTCATGTATATGCGATGCTCGAATTCGAGACCTCAAGGTCAAGGGATAACAACAATCTCTTAGCCACTAAAATTACTTGATTTATTTTATCATAAAAAAGTAAAACAAACACGATTAATTCTAATCCTCCTCCTCATATGGTAGTTTAAGAAGTGCTGTCACTAATATGTCATAAATTATTAGGGTTAACAAATTCTCTATCATCCTCAACTTTACTGCCTCTGTTAAGAACCATTCAACACTTTTCGATTGTTATTTTTCTCCTTTTATCTGTTCTGCTGATTTGTTTTCTTGTTGATGAATATTTTAGGGTTAACAAATGATATGGTTGCTTAGACAAAAATATTAGGAAAATGGTATTAAAATCAAATGCGAAAATAAAGAGGTCATCTCCACATAGTGCTGTTAGCGAGAGAGGAAAGAGATCTAACTCCAAATCAATGCCCAAAATGTAACACAAGAAGAAGACTACCAAACTTAATGCTAAATTGTACAAGAACCCTCTAACATCTTTCTTTTGCTTCTCGTGAGTATTTCTTTATGCTCGTCGATTTGTTTAACTATCGGTTGATAATAACATTTCTTTGTAGCTACAGATCCTTATGTTTCCAATTGTTTATCTCTGTTTCTTTAATCTTAGATTATTTATGTTTTAATTTTGAATTTGTTAGAAACTTGATAAGTCCAACTATAGATGACCTAAGACTTAACATTAACATCACACAATTTTTTTTAAATCGATCAGTCTTTTATTTTATAATTTGCAATAATACTTAATAGCATAGTCGACCATCCATCATTTAAGCGGTAGAATCAATAATATATTATTCAAATGGCAGAACCGATTATAAATTAACACTAACACAAATGCATAAAGAACTTAAAAATAAGTTAAGGTTTAACCAGCAAATTAAAACTAAAAACAAATAATTACAAGAGAACATAACATTTTTCATTAATAAAAAAATATAATTACAATATTACAACATTCCCTACGTTAATCGGGTACTTTGGTAAAACTTTTTTATAGAACTTTACTTGCCTTCTATTATATGTAATAGTGTGGTTAAAGTTATGATATAGTCCGTGTTTGCTACCCGCTTGGCCTAGTATAGTTTAGTCTAATCCGTATTCATGTTAACGCCTTTATTTTTTTTGCAGCCTGTCTCTTTAAATAAATTATTGTTTAAAATTATTTTTAATATAATATATATATATATATTATATTTTAATTTTATCTTATCAAATGATATTATTTTAGAATTTAAATTTGAAATACGTGGTTGTGGTGAAATTGAGTAATTTAGAAAGATTTTTTTTTTGGGAATAGATGTGAGCCTAGGCAAGGCAATTACATACGCAGGTATGGAGGACTAGTAGTTCGCTCATATCAGGAGGAATACTATCAGAAGTGTGAAGCTCACCATCAATACCACTATGAATTTTTGCCAAGAAGTCGGCGGCCATGTTCGTCTCCCATATAATAAGCTTGAAGTTGACCTACCAATCCTTATCCAAAAGGTTAAAAATACTATGAACCAAACTGAGTGGGCTGTCCGTTGAGGCTGAAGTGACCAGTTCAAACGCCTCGAAGCTGTCAACCTGCAGAAGTAAAACTTGGAATTCATTGTCCCATGCTAAGGTCAAACGTGTGATATTGGTGAAATCGAAAATAGACGATTTTATCCCTACATTACACATGTACAAAAAAAAAAAAAAAAGATTGATGCTCATTTGTTTTCATTCACCCAACATTAGTATCTTCTCTACCTCTAGACTCTCGTAATGAAATAATTCACTTTTAGATAAATATCAACATCTTAGTTATTAATCTTATAAAAAAATTAGATAATTCTAGACAAAATATTATATATCATAAATATCTATATTATTTTATAGATATTATAAGTAGTATTATTTTAATAACAAATATTTTGATAATTATTAGGAATTATAGAGAAATCGTTGAACATTTAAGTAAATTGAAGTCAATTTGCATGCATATTGTTCATTGACTTCAAATGCATTGATGGTTTTTAAGGATTACTAATCGGTTGTGTTTCCTTGCTTAATTGTGATCCCGGTTCTTAAGTTAGAGTTTATGTTTTATGGGGCCTTGGATATCCTAGGTTCAACCTTCAAATGTAAATAAAGTATGTGTCTCTGTGTGTGTACATATTTTGGATGGCGAGTACTGGTAATGGTCTGTGTCAAAGAATTTGCTGCTAGTTTTTGTTGAACAAAGGGGGTGTTTCCCTGTGATAGATACAAATCTAACTGCGCTTTCCTTTTCTTATATTAAGGGGAATATTTTCGAAACAAAGACGGATGGTGAATTTTATATTAGGACGATAAGTTTTTAAAATCTTAATTTAGCAATTGAATGTCTTTCTGTAATATATTGTTTTCAGATCGGAAAGGCATGTGGTGAGAGGTAGACGACAATGAAATATGAGGTTTGGGCCTTGTAATCTTGAATCGAGTCTCTTTGTCGCCTGTTGTTTACGAATTATGTTTTACTTTGGGAAATTTGGATCAAATTCTTTTCAAGAACAAACCACCATCTGCTTGTATATTTTGATGTCAGAGATCTAAAAAGCATGGTGTTTTTAACTACTGTGACTACTGAGTTGTTTATGATTCAAGCTTGTTCGACAGCCATTTTCGACAACAGCAGCAAAGAAGATGATGCTTCAATCTCGCTAATCCGGCCTCTGATTTTCTCACGAAGCTTCTCCATTGATCCCCTCATCTCCAAAAGCTCATCCACGTTAAGTTCGTTAACAGGTTTTTGGTGCTTCAGTTTTTGACGGCTCGCCCTGATCGCCTCATCGAGCACCTCTCCTTGCTTCGTCTCCGCCTGCAGCCGGTTGAGAACGGTGTTGAGTTGTCGATTGAGCTTTCCAACTTTAGCCTCTCGCCAAGATTGATCAACAACTTGACCTGGAATAGAAACTTTCGGTCTCCCGTCCTGATTTAGAAACCGCTCAGCCACTGCCTCGACGCTCGGATGCCCGAACGAGTAAGGCTTGCCGCCGGGGGAGAAAACCACGATGGCCACTTGAGCGGCGCAAAGGGTAGCTAGCTCGTTCGCTTTCTTGAACAGCCCTGTTCGGCGCTTCGAGAAAGTCACTTGCCTCGAGCTTCTATCTTTCACCATTTTCATCTCAATTTTTCTCCGACCCATGCTTTCCTTTTCATAAATATTTTGAATGCACAAGGTTTGCTCAACGGGTCAGCATTTATAAAGACAAACCAGGGCAGGCCACTTGAATTGGAAATATTTCTAATTTATTTCATAATGCTAAATACTACTAATTATTTTCCCCAGCATGGAAACAATTTAAATATGTTTTCTAATTTGGGTTAGTCCAATAATTATGAAACTTTACATTGTCTTGTTGGCACAATTTAATTCTCCTTTAGAAATATCACAATTTAGTAACTAATTCAATTTTGAGCTAATCTTTCTCTTGGAAATAATATATGTGGGGATACTAGTGATGATAAAAAAAAATATTTTTCAAAGAATCTAGATTTGAGTAGCTACGGCTACAGGGGAAGTATGTATTATCAAATATTATATTATATTATATTATATTCACTCTAGATTATTTAAGAAAATAAAAACAAATTCTTTCTTAAGTAGCGGAATTTTGATGAATTGAACAAGCAATTTTACTCTAGAAGAAATTGATTAATTTTTTAAATGAGAAGGTGGGTAATTTATTGGCACAGTCTAGACCAAAATAACTTACTATATTATCATCTACTTTATATGTCAATGTAATCTGATTTAGGAAACTTGTTAAGCCACACCCATCTTTCTGTTTTGAAGGCAAATCTACCTAACTCCTTTCATATTTATCCCACTCAAATAAAAAATCCCTTTCCAGGAAAATATATTATTCACCGAGTATCAAAATTATGAATTTCATTTTAAATTAATATTTAAATTTTAGAATATTTTATATTTATTTGTAAATTATAAATGTAAATATTGAGTGATTAACTTAAAAATTATTATATTCTAGAAGTCAACAGAGTCTTGCTATTTTATATTTCTGTTTTGCGTTTTTTTCATGTTCATCCTCATCTTAGAATTTATGTACACAGACATTCTAACAAAAATATTTTCATTAAATACTCGTCTAGCTAAAAAAAACTAATAAACGCTATCATCCGCATTCTAAAAAGGTTTCGTTAATGCGTGTGTACAACTCAAGCTAAAATGTAAATAAAAAAATTTTCTGTAATACATGTTATATATTATATTCCTCCTATTGTTCAACAAGCACTAGTGGTCTAGTGGTAGAATAGTACCCTGCCACGGTACAGACCCGGGTTCGATTCCCGGCTGGTGCACTCACGAAGCTGTGATGATTACAGCGTATACTAGTGGAGATAGGGTTCTTCATAATTGTCTGATTTAAAAATGACTACCAAGCGCTTCTGAGCTTCAACTTTTTTTATCTTTGTTTTCGTTGACATTGGATTTACAGTTTCATGAAAAGAAAATCAATGCAACTGTTGTGCCAATTTCGTAGACCCTTTTATTAAAACAATCAAAATTCGCTTCAAACATATTCACTCTTTAATGGCTTCTACCATCCTTCTCTCCTACTGAAACCTGCAAATCCATGGACTAAATCTACTGCGGAACCATAACTTTTGGCCTACCGAAAACACCCATCTTCCATAACAAAGTAATTTCCTTTCGTTGGATGACTAAATACGGTGAAATGGATCATGCACTCAAATTGTTCGGTCAAATTCCTGAACCAAGAAGTGTCTTTCTTAAAACACAATGACCAGTGCCTTCACGTCCTCTTTTAATGCCACATCTAGGCCAGCTCTCTCTTGGGCATGGAATCGCCTAAAGGAGGGAGCGACACTTCTCAACAAGGGAACTCGATCAAATTGGAACCTGCTTTACCTGGATTCAAGATTAGTTCTCCTATTCCTTCACACTCAGACATTCTCACAGTGAAATACCTTATTGATGAACCAGAGAGGTTACGGAACAAGGAAATTCTTGGGAGGGGATGCCGATGATGATGTTGTCGTGGATATATCAATTGACCCTCCATCCATTGGCAATGTTTTTTTCTCTTTGTATGACGTTAAGTAAAACTGCCATGGACAAACTGCATGAAATAAACCCCAATGGGCAAGTATTTGACAACTAAAACCTGTGCCGAAGATCCAACACTTTGTATGGAAGGCTTGACATGATGTCATTGCAACAAAAGATAACTTATTGCGACGACCAGAAGCTTGTGAGCATGTTTCATGAGGTGTGGAGAAAAATAACGAAACACTTATTTTGTTCGGCATCACAAGCGATGCGGAGAGGCTTCCTCTTCTTTTGTTCGGTATCACAAGCGATGTGGAGAGCCTTCATGTTTAACTACTGCCTCAAACCTAGGGGATTCTAGTCCCTCACGAATCCAGCAGGAAAAGCCCAGCTACACTTCTTCTTCTTCTGCTTTCGGGAGTAAAGCTGCACAGTCCCTCTCGAATTCAGCAGGAAAAGCCCAGGTCTCGGCCCTCACAAATCCATGTAAGGAATGATGCTGTTTATGGCTTTCGGGAGTAAATCTGCACAGTCCTTCACGAATCCAGCAGGAAAAGCCCAGCTACACTTCTTCTTTTTCTTCAGGAACTTAAACCCATAACAATTAAAAAAATAACATAAACCCATCGCATCGGGATGAAATGTCCATCCCTATTTGCAATGCATCGTTTCGCTGCAGCATAGCAAAGTAAACCAAAGGACTCAATCCAAACGACAATCATGGCGACCGAACCTCTTCCTTCTGCCTCTGCCACACACACGAAAATCGATACCGTTCGATATTTGACCTCCCTATCAACTTCTTCAATTCGTGACGTTTACTTTCTCCTTCTTTAACTTCACTCTTCGAGCCCCTCTTAATTTTCGAAAAATATTCTTCAGAATACCCTGATAACACCGACGAAAGGGACGAAAAGAGCACCAAAAACGGCATCGCTTTGCTTTGCCCAGATGGACTTGCAACACCTGCAAGGCTGAGTTTGACTCTCTCCAGGACCAACGCTCCCACTTCAAATCCGAATTTCATCGTTTCAATGTAAATTTTCTCACCTGTTTCTTTTAAATTGGCTTTGTTTTTACTTCTCTGAAAAAGTTACATTTGAATTGAAGTAATGATTTTTTTATTTCCCCGTTTTATTTGATTATAGGCAAAATTAAGCATTGCTGGTGAGGATACTGTAAAGGAGGAAGAGTTTGATGAGTTGACCATGGATTCTTACAAAGACTTCGAGGTTTCGGACTAGGAGGATGAAGCTGATAAGGGAGCTTATCCTCGTAATGATGCATCAAAGGGATTGATTAAAAATATAAGGAAGAAGTTGTTTATTCTTCTTCAAAATGGAGAGAGAGAGTTTCAATTTGGAAATCTTTAATTTTAAATGAGTCCGAAAGTATTTTAAATGAGAATGATAAAGAAGTGTAGAATGATAATCCTGGATGCTTGAGAGAAAATGAGGTGATTGAGAGGTTGAAAGCTTTGATTCGAGAACCTAAGGATAATGCAAGTTTCAGGATTGTGCTGCTTTCAAGTGGTGGACACTTTGCTGGTTGTGTGTTTCATGGCAACAGAGTGGTGGCTCAAAGAAGAAGAAGAATGAGGAGGAGGGTACGAAGTTAACTGCCACGTCACATAAAACTAACGGGAGGTAACAACATAGACCTTATTGAAAACGAACTAAAAGTTCAGTGATTGTATTGTAAGCTTTAAAAGTTGGATGACTAAAATGCAAGTGTCTTAAAAGTTTGGAGACTATTTATATACTTTACCCTAAAATTAATTGTGACGCTGCTTAAAATTTCAAGCAAAACTGATGGTGCAGAAGCAATAACTGGGAATTGTCAAGGAGGCCGGCGTCAACGCCCGAATGCTCACCTCATCAGCAGTTGTGGCTGGAGCCCTGAGATTACGGCTTGGTTCCGGAATAATCCGAGGGCAAAACTGCCACCATGTCGTCGTGGAATCCGACTAGATTGCTAAAGGATCACTTGTTGACTCGTCGCAATTCGAAACGCATCCTGCTATGCATGCCTCAGCTAAAGTAAACCAGAAGAAGGTTACAGAGCCCCAACTAAATTGCAAAACGAACTTTAGCTTATGCATGCCTTGCTGGATGTGTTTAAAACCATCCAAGGGAGCTTCAAGCTCTATTGTGGCGTTTCTCTTTTTTAATGAAATCTTTGATGAATATCAGATATTTCAATTATAGTTAAAAAATTAAGGATAATATTGATGTGATATTTTTCTATCGTTTTATAACTTTCATGTCATTTTCTTTTTTATCAACAACAACCAATGATATTTTTCAATTGAAAATATGCAACCAATAAGATGGTGATTGTCGATTTAACGAAAGTATACCCCTAATTTTTCAATTGAAAATATGTAATTAATAAGATGATGACTGTCGAATTAACCAAAGTATACCCCCAATTTTGATATTTATAATTGAGATCTCTCAACTTTTATATTTATAATTGTGGTATTTAACTTTTCTCAATTTCCTAAAAGTTTTATTTTTTTACTTCATTCTTCTAATTTTATCATTAATTCATTCATTTTTAATTAGATTTAATTATATCATTTTTTTTTCAAATCTCATTCTTTAATTTATCAAATATTCTTTAACTTATAGTCTTATTTAATCTCAATATAATGATAAAATAATACATTATTTTTTATTTTTTATTTATTATTCAAAATAAATCTTCGTATCATACCCACATTCAATTTTTTTTATATTTATTTTCTCTTAGTTGTATTTAAAGTGTTTTCTTAACAAAATAATAAAAAATAAAGTATTGGACAAAACTTAATCATTTTTTATTATTTCTATGATTTATTATTGTAACATTAAATTAATTATTCAAAGTAACTTAATATATTTTAATTCTATAGAGGCCTATTTTAAGTTTTCGATCGGGGCTCGAAAATGTCATAGACGACTCTGATCAATATTAATATTTAATTTATATAATTATTAAATGAAAAATAAAAAAAATCAACTTTGTTTTGAAAATAAATATAATTAAATAATTACTTATATATTTTTTTATAATATTAATATAAATTATTTCAAAAAAAAATTAATATTTTTAATGACAAAATATAAATTTAATTTTTTTAAAATTAAATAAATATTATAGAAAATATAATATGTCTTAAATAATTTAATATTTATATTTATTTTGTTATTTAAAATAAATAATTAGATAAATAAAATAAAAACATAAGAATAACCAGATACTTAAAATAAAAACATAAGAATAACCAGATAATTAAAATAAAAACATATGTATAATTTTAAAAAGAAAAATAATTGAATAGATGAATATATATATGGGGAAAGCACTGGCTTCGACTTTTCGTTTACTTATGTGTACAAGACCGCCTACTGTTACTCTCTTCAGTCTTCACTTTGGTATTATCGCCATCGTCCCCAATCAACCATGCAAGCTCTTCAACCTTCATCTCTTCGAGCTTCTTCTCTAAACCCTCTCAAAAACCCCAAACCCAATCCCCATTTCCCCAATGTATCAACACTTCCTCCCATGCCTACTAAGAAATTCTCTTCCATTACCGCTTCATCCCCCACCGTTTCTGCTCCCAAGCGCGAGTCCGACCCCAAGAAACGGGTCGTTATTACGGGTATGGGGTTGGTTTCCGTTTTCGGAAACGATGTGGATGCTTACTATGATAAGCTGCTGGCTGGAGAGAGCGGGATCGGACTCATCGATCGCTTCGATGCTTCCAAGTTTCCTACACGGTTCGGCGGTCAGATCCGGGGTTTTAGTTCTGAAGGTTACATTGATGGAAAGAATGACCGGAGGCTTGACGATTGCTTGAGGTACTGCATTGTTGCTGGCAAGAAGGCATTGGAAGATGCTGATCTCGGGGGCGATAAATTATCTGAAGTTAGTTCATTTTCTTCTTCTTTAATGGTTTTTTGGTTAATGGGTTTTATTAATCGGCTTGTTTTAAGAATGGGTAGTTCTTGTTTTTCTAATGATTTGCGTGTTTTGTTGTTTAATTATTGATCCACAGATCATTATTTGTTAAGCAACGGGATCGCTGTGTGTGTATTCTGGTCATTTCATACCTTTTCCTTAGCAGTTCCTAGAAATCTTTGTTGTGTTATATTGTTTGTGACTCATCATGTCTAATTCATAACGTGATTTAAGTAATGGGTTCATAAGGATTATTTTGTTCAATTTCACTGCTGAGTTGGTCTTTTGATATCTATATTTCATTCAAGCTCATAGCCTTTTTCCCCCCTTAATTTGATGCAGCTCTTACATATAGAGAATCTGTATATAGTGAAAAAATCAAGTGGTCTTGTACATTTGCTTTAGAGCATTCTCATTGGAACAATTTCAACAATATTA